TGCTGTAATGGGTAATTTCTGTATAGATTATGAAAGTAATCTAAAAGACCTTTAATTTGAGCCGGTATATCTTTAATTTAATTTACATATTTGTTATTCCAAAAATTACGAATGAAGTTCAAAATTAAAAAACGTAATATTTATTGAAAAATTGCTTTTTTATTTCAAATATATTGCATTCAAGCCTATAAAATTACGAATCGAATGAATCGTAGTAGGCCTAGATAACTTAATTTGTTGCTGAGATACGTTAATTAGTTTATCCCACTACCTTCAACTTTGAATGCTCATAGGATTGCCAAAAAAAAATGGTAGAGGCCTAATTCTTGTTTCATTCTCATCCTATAGCCGCAAAGTTTCATAATCCACTGGAAAATATTGCAACAAATTTTTTAACCCGTTAAAAACAATTATTTATGAAGTTGTAAAATTGCAGTTATAAATATTTATAGCTGCAGCGCCCCCTATGTACCCTACAAATTTCTAATTTGCAGATTATTGTACCTGGATTCGAGACGAAGATTAAAAAAGAACCGTTTTCTACGACCAATAGGAGCCGAGTTAGCATAATTTTTTTTTAAACCACATAGGCTCTTTAATAACAATTAAGAAACGAATCTGGCGTCATTCACTACTTAAAAACCTATAATTTCAAGCATTTGTATTCGCCTTAACCCTACGTTCATCGGGTGACCATTCTGAAACACTGTCGGTCGGGTGTGGTCTGTGAGGACCAAAATGAAATACCGCCTCCCGAGCAACAGCATACATTTTATTGCTAATTTCGCATCAAAATGTTTTAAACAAATCATTTACTATATAATGTTTATTACAGAAACAATTCCAAAAATTTTTAAAGTTGTATTTTGTATTTGTTGTAAAAAAAGATTTACAACTTTAATTATAAATAAACAAAGTACTACAAAAACATCTATAAAGTAAAAAATTAAATTGTGGACACAAACAGCAGTAGTCAAACTTTTGTGGTCAAATTTTCTAAGCAATCTTTGCAGCATGCCATTATGTGGTCCATACATAGCCAGGATTTGCAAATTTTGCAAAAAAGCAAGTTTTGCGTCTTTTGCAATATTTACAATTTCCTTTCTTACCTGGCTGGGGCTCTGGTACAACGACGACCTCAATGCCTGGGAGTCTCAAGGCCGAAGCACGCACAGCTTTTGTCAAATGCGTGTCAATTGCTCTCCGTCGTATATTCTCCTGTACCAATTCCATACCTAGGTTTTTTTGGAATAATCTTCGCGTTTTGGAAAATTCTCTATCTGGGTTGTTGCCTTTGTAAATTAAAAATGCATTAATTGCTGCGAGATTAGGGAGATTATAAACTACTACCATTGGCCAACGTTTCGTATTTCTGGAAACATTATATAATGTGATCATTCTGTCTACAACATCTACTCCACTCTTTGTGGAATTATAAACATTAATTATTTCTGGTTTTTTTCTGATCACCAGTATCTTCCTCAATCTGATCATCTCTGTGCACAGTGGAAATAGCAATCACATTTTTTCCTTTCTTCGGTATATATGATACGGTAGTCAGTGCACTGACGTATTTTCTCGGAACAACCAAATAATCCAGTTCATAAAAACGCACAGGGATGCCAAGTGAAACAATATGACAAGAAAAATACAACTAAGAAGCAGTGCAAATATTGTTACACATTTTATCGGGTGGGGTCTATCAGGACAAACTGCCATGCAGCAGCTATTCAGAAATTTCAAAAACAGTTTTGTATAAAAAAAACTAATGGTATTTAGTTTATAGGAAGGTACTGAAAAGGTAGAAATTTAAAAAAAAATGAGAGAATTATCCAAAATTTTTATTTTGTCGTAGACTCACAGATCACACCCGATGAACGGAGGGTTAAATTAAAATCATTATTTATTGTTAAAAATGACGAATAAGTTTACCTTTTTTTCAAGCGATGGCACAGAAGTAGTGGTGGGGATTACTTTGCGCAACGAGAAAAAAACTGAATCGGAAAAATTTGCAATTCTCGGTGAAAAATGAACCGATTTCGATGATTTTTTTTAATCTGGGGTAGCTCGTCAAAATAATAACATCTGGAATACTTTCACCCTTAAAAACCACCCCCAACCCCCCTAATTTTTTTAATATTAAATTTTTTTAAATTCTTTTACTTTTACAATACTATTAAACGTAATCTACTACCTAATTATTATTGAGAACATCCCCATGAAACATCCTCATTTCTAAAAAAATTTAATATTCTAAAATATAGACTACTATTATTTCAGTATTTATCTTTTTTTAAATACTTACTCCGCCTCGCTGTGTAATCTTTTATCAGTGAAAAATTATGTTAAAGTAAAGTTCAAATAATTAAAATTTCTCTTTAAAAACAATCTATTTTCCAAAAAAACTCAAAAAATTGATTTTTAAAAACTTTTGTTCAAACTAGATTTTTAGTACAATTTCATGAGAAATTAAATAATTGGTTTTATAAATTAAAATAAATATCATTTATACGTATATCTTAAATTGCAAATTACTTTGATAGAAGGAATAACTTAGTAAAACAAAGCTATAAACAGTAAAATAATTGTAATTTATTTAAATGGTTTTAAAATGAGATTCAATATTTACAAAATCAGAAATATGCTGAGTTTTTATTTATTTTTCTTTTTTTAGTAGATTGTACAATTTCCCCAGAATCATATAACAATTCATACAAAACATCCATCTCACTCTCACATTCTTTTTCTGCGTCATCTAGTTCATATTCAGCAGTATCACAATTTTCGCAACTCTCTCCATTACAATTTTCGCACATTTTCGCACATTTTAGGTTGTGCTTACGGCATCCGCAATATTTGCCGCGTGCGGTTTTTGGGCTACATTTGAAAAAGGTAAACAGTATTAATCATTTTTAACAATAAATAATGATTTTAATTTAAGGAGAATACAAATACTTGAAAATATAGCTTTTTAAGTAGTAAATGACGTCAGATTCGTTTCTTAATTGATATTAATAAAAACATTATGCTAACTCGGCTCCTATTGGTGGTAGAAAACTCTTTTTTTTTAATTTTCGTCTCGAAGCCAGCTACAATAATCTGCAAATTAGAAATTTGTAGGGTACATAGGGGGAGATGCAGATCTAAATGATTATAACTTCAATTTTACAACTTTATAAATAATTGGTTTTAACGGGTTAAAATTTTTTTCATTATTTTCCAGTGGATTATGAAAATCTACGGCTTTAGGAAGAAAATAAAACAAGAATTAGCCCTCTACTGTTTTTTTTTGGCAATCCTATGAGCATTCAAAGTTGAAGATCGTGGGATAATCTAATTAACGTATCTCAACAACAAATTAAGTGATCTAGGCCTACTTATTCTATTTCTATCTCTATTCTTCTCTTTCTATCTCTATTCTTCTATTTCTATCTTCTATTCTAGGCCTACTTATTCGATTCGTAATTTTATAGGCTTGAATGTCATACATTTGAAATAAATAAAAAAGTAATTTTGCAATAAATATTACGTTTTTTAATTTTGACCTTCATTTGTCATTTTTGCAATAACAAATAAATTAAATTGAACGTATACCGGCTCAAATTGAAGGTCTTTTAGAGTACTTTCATAATCTATACAGAAATTACCCATTACAACACTTACTTTAGGCAAAAAATGAAAAAAAACTAAAAAAATACGTGTTTTGCACCTATAAACGTTCATAAATAAACAATAACCAAAACTTTTTTGTTGAATGAACTGGGGGATTGCTCCTGAGGTTGCCCTTTGTAACTTGGACCACATTACATAAAATCCTGGATTAGAGAGTACTTTTTCCTCGACAGCCTGGGCTAACAGTTCGATTTTGTTTTCAAGGGGGAGAGTATCAGTAAATATTTTTAGCCCCCAATGTTCAACACACTACCAAGGATAAATTATAAAGAACAGGCATCTAATGACACATTATTTTAAAGGGCGTTTAAAGTTTCTCTCCAATGTTAGTCCAATTTAATATTTTTTCTCATCAGTTACCAAAAAACCGCTTTCTAAAATTAAAAAAGTAATTGGAATTTGCCTAAACTGAGATTAACGATTGTAAAATTATTAAGTAAATCGATTAGTTGTTACCTTTCGTATAACCCAAATATAATAATTGGAGACATGAACGCCCAGGTAGGAAAAGAGATATGCTAAAAACTTTTCTATTTTACTAAGATTATATTCAATCAATCAATAATTACTTTTTATTTCTCATTAAAAAAATACAATACAATACAATATTCTCTTTTAGCGACATTTGTTCTCCTTGGCACATGCCATCAGGAGGGTTGGCAAACAAATATTTTTCTCAAATATACAAAAAATTGCACTAAGATTCATTCTATCTAAAAAGGTCATTAAAATTAATAAAAATAAAGTAAATATTTATATAAATATTATAGTAATTAACTAAATGTGTATATCCTACTGAGTAACACTTCGTCAACCTTTTGAGTCAGAAGGGCCAAAAATTACAATTTACAAAATTTTAAAGAGCCACAATTTTTTTTTTGTCAACAATAAATAGTACTCACATAAATAAAGTTCTTTGATAAAAAAATTAATCTATTTATTCATATGTAGGTATATAGTGTTTTTCACATTTTTCATATATTTCATTTATCGAAGTAAATAATTAGAACAACTAAATATTCACTTATAACACTAACTTGCACTTCAATAACAAACAGTTGAGCAAACAATCTCAATGGGAGTGTTGGATTTGCATGATTTGAGATAGTTTGGATAAATCTGGCTCATAACTTGTTTTAAGTTTCAAACACGACTCTAAATTTTCATTTGTTAGTTAGCTTCTTAGTTTACTTTTATCACATTCATACAAGAGAACGCTTGCTCGCAAGAATATGTCGATCCGAAGATAGTACTCCAAATGCCAACTTCTTCACATCACCCTCAATTCGCGGTATTTCTTTTAAAGCTTTCCACTTTTTTTGCGATACTTACATACATTTCTGGACTTCCAATTCTTTCAACTTGCTTTTCAACTCTGTAAATTTTCCACTCCACAAAGCTTTACTTTTTAAATCGATCAATTGCATTTTTAAAGATTCAGTATGAATCCCAAATGCTTCAACGGGAATTTCATGACTATTTGTGTTGAGAGGATTTACTATGAATGCTAAAGTAGTTTTGTTGGTTTTGAATTGTTCAAATCTGCCAGCAAATTCATCTTTAATTTTTTTTGTAACTGCGCTGAAGTAATTCGTGTCAACAGTTGCACTGGTTTTATCGCGATATTGCTTTAGAAATTGAAAATGAAGTAATTTTTCGCTCTGAATATCGTCTGCAAAAAGAATTAATTTTTCTTCAAAACAAACCAATTCTTCCACCAAAACATAGTCTGGGTTTCCCTTTTCTTGCAGTTTTAGATTCAGCTCATTTAATTTCTCTGTGATATCACCATAAAGCAAAATTTTTGCAACCATTTGTCGTTCCCCAATTCAGGGTGACTGATGCCTTTTTCATCACGCAATGTATTTATTTCATTCAAGCACAAAGCAAAACGTTTCAACACCTTACCTTTGGAAAGCCATCGCACTTTATTTAAAAGAGACTTTAAGAAATAAGATGCCGCATTGAAATTGCACGGTCAACGTTTAATAGAATGAGAAAACTTTTTTGTAATCGTGATATCAATATATCGCTCCGGATAAGAATGCTTCGATAATATATTTTCTCTACCCTTATGTACGGGGTTGAAGCTGGGACACTTAAAAAATCCAACGTGTGTTTTTGTTATCATTTTGTATCTTTGTTTTTGGAGATTTAGCTCTTCGCTCTTACCATTCTATGATCACTTCCCACTGAACATCTATTAAGAACTGTAACATCATGGACCATGTCTTTGTTGTTGGTTAAGACAAAATCAATTTCATTTTTGGTGACTCCATCTGGACTTGCCCAGGTCCATTTTCTTTGGAGACTTTTTTTGAAAAAGCTATTCATTGCAAAGAGGCCATTTCGTACCAAGAAACCCAAAAACATTTCTCCTCTTTCATTTCTTTGTCCGAATCCGTAGGGACCTATTGCAACTTCGGTCCCGTCCAGTTTACATCCCAACTTAGTATTAAAGTCACCCATTACTAGGTTGTGTGTAGTAGACGCCAGTTTTACTACATTTTCTAGGTCTTCATAAAAGGTTTCCACTTCCTCTTCCGAGTGTGTAGATGTAGGTGCATTAGGCACTCGTACTTTCGACTACCTAATCCCAAATAAGAATCCTGTCGAGTGCAGATTTTCCCATCTTATCTCGCTATAGCCTTTACAATATTTTATTATTTGGTGAAGAGGATGGCAACTAGAGTATTTTATTGTACTGTTTGATACACGGCATACATAATACTGTTCAGTCATAAAGATTTATTCCGTGGCATATTTCTGAGCAAGGGAAAAAGAATGTATGTTCCATGAAGCAATTTATTATCTATTGATAACCTAAAAACTATATAATTATTTTACAAGTTTTTGCAAATATTCCACATTCTAGCCTCTTAACATTCTGGTATTACTATTCATAGTGAGCTTATGGTTTTCATCGATGATTCTAATTACCTGCACGATCATAATTTAGTTGCATGTTATGGCTGCGCTGTAATCATAGTAGGTAGTCCGCTGTAAATTTATTGATTGTACATAGATGGTGTCCAGTCTCAATGTCCGCATGTTATTGTATCTATATCAAATAAATGATGAACTGGAATGCTAACAGAAAAGAGAACTCGAGGAAACCAAGTTTGCAGCACCGAGCAGAATTAACGAAAAGATCGTCGGGAACCTCAGTCCAGCCCTTGGGATCACCTCACCCAGACAGCGCAATAGGATAAGGACGAATCCTTGGTTACCTGGAGCTACACTCAGCCCAAGTCCCGTCAAGCATGGCCTTAACAAGGCCAAAGTTGCAGCTAAATCCAGTAAAGATAGTCCGTGAGTACTTTATTATATATGTATATATAAAATATAAAGTTTTTTAGGAACCAGTTGATAATCTTTATTTTTGGACACTTTCGCTGCCACTTATATATTTAGTTCAGTATTCAATAGGTAAATTTCCCAAAGCCAACCTTAGATAATTAAAAGGAAATTGTCACTGGACAGTTTTCCTTAATGTTTTGCCATGGTTACTAACATTTATATTGTAAAATTTGACAGATTGCAAATTAAATGGATGTTTCAAAAAATATATATTCAGTTGCTTTAGTATGTAGCAAATACGAAAAAGAATCGATGTAATTCCACAGTTTGTAAACAACGCCAAAAGGCGACAGCGGCACCTGACTCAAATAGCACAAAACCCCTTTTGGCGACAGTGGCAGCGAATGTGTTAAACTATTAGCTATGTACAGATGCGGTCATTGAATAGTTTACACCTTCATTTTTACATTGTAATAATGTAAAATCGCAGTGTCGTACAGTTTTGCTAAAAATCGGAAAATAAAATAAAAAGCTATTAAACGTGTCCAAAATGCCTAGAATGCATTTTAATGGCCGGCAAAAAACAAGAGCAATTTCCAAACTCGAAGAAGGTTGGTCACTAAGGTTTGTCACTAAGTTTCTTTCTACAATTTCCATTTTGTTACATTTTGTACAATAGATTTATTTTGTTTTGATCTTTTAATTATAAACAACCAAATCTGGATCCGCCACTGGTACTTTTAAATGTCACTTTGACGTAAAATATGCATTTAAACGAGGTAAAGGTTAAAAACAATCGGCTTCTAGATATGTAAGGGTGTAAACAATGGCTGCAGCTATACATTTGAAATCGATAGGAACAAACACAATACATATCATACAGTTTGATCACACAAAAATTTAACTCAAAAGATGTCGCCTGTTTTGTGGCTATAAACATATTTTATAGTTACAATAATTCTCGAATTTTAAGCCAGAAAGCGGGGTGGCCGCCGCCACCTTAACGTATGGTAGAGTAACAACTAGTATTAGAACAGGTGTGGGAAAGACTGAAAAATTTCATGTAAAGTAGGATTGCATCTTGGCTCAGTGCTTAGTCCTTATTTATGCTCTTAGTTTTGGATTAGATAACAGAGGAACTATAGGGAGGAGGAACTATAGCACCAGGAATATTCCTTGGTAGTTAATGCATTCTGATTGGTGAGTTTTATTAGGAAATACTGAAAGGGATTTAAAACAAAAAACTGGAAAAGTGGAGACCAGTGGCGAATCTAGACATTTGTCTTGGGAGGGGAACTTCCAACTGAGGGGGAGGGGAACTTCCAATGAAACACCAACCAAAAGACAAAGAGATAAACCCAAACTACATAAAAGATATAAATAATAGGTTTTCTTTAATTTTGGACGTTCTTGGGGGATTTCCCTATTCCCTCCGTGTATCTGTCATTGACAGACAAGCTCTTGATGATGGTTTCAGGAAAATGGTTTAAGACTTAGAAAGACAAAAACAACAAATTACCACACAGAAGATTGTACACATGACGATCAACCTGCGACAAGCCAGAAAATCTAATGAGAGATCAGATTGACTATATAATAAGCAAAAGATTCAAAGATTTAATAACCTCAGTAAAAAGCTACCCTGATTCAGATATTCAGTCGGATCATCTCAACAAGATAACTCACTTGTTGGTATGTTTCGTCAGAATTTTAAAGAAATCCACAGCAACTAAGAGATACTGACACCAAACAAGTAATACCTGAATAAGAACATATGTCTAAGTCAGAAGTAGTTAAATATTTTGAAATAAAACACTTAGAACACATTGGGGAAATATTGAACCAATACCTGCGACCGAAAATAACAAAAAAGAAAAAACCTTGGATGTACACAGTATTTACCAAAAGAGGAGAATCCAAGCGGAGTCCTAGACAGAGAAATATTGTGGTCCTTTAGTCCTAGCTAACATTCCCTAGCCTGACCCTCTAGTCTCTGATATACCTATCAGGAAGCCTTTCCATCGTTTTTAATAAAAAAGAAGATAGGCTTATTGGTCTAGATGACTTTGGTGTTAGGTCTGATACTTTACCTACCTTAGGCTAAGTATATGACTTTAATCTTTTGCCATATTTCCGGTACGATACCCATGCTTAACTGGCTTTGCGGATCTTGCATAGGTGTAATATCAATACCTCTTCTAATCCCATATGCAACAGTATTTAATATATGCCATCTGTAAGCCTGGAGACTTATATGGGCGAACATATTTATAGCCCATCTAATTCTGTTCGGTTTTGTGATTGCTGTGGATATTTCCCAATCTGTAGACCTTGGCCTAGTGCGCCTTTGGTTTATGTTGGTTTGCCTACCTGCATAATCTAGAATTGTTAAGCCCGGAAAGTGCGTGTTTATCAGTTTTCTAAGACTTTCCTCTTTGGTGTCCGTAAATTTGTCATTAGCCTTCTTTAGGAATCCTATTTCTTTCGTTGTATCACCGTCCTTTGCCAGGACTTTATGGATTCGAGAACATGCCGGGATATCCGTAATCTCCTCGCAAAATTCTCTCCATAAATTCCTTTTAGCTTTCCTAATTTCTTTATTGTATAGCATTAGCTTATACCTGTAGGTATCCCAATCTTGGTTACTTTTGGTTTAGTTTTACCTCATCCTCTTTAAGCTTATATAGCTTTGCTTATCATTTCTTCCGCCGAATCTATAACCTCCGGGCCTTTAAACAAGATCACACTTTCCCCAAGATTTTTACGTAGGGACTCCCTATATCCTACCCAGTTTGTATCTCTAGGATTTCTGTGTTTAATTTCCGATGGAAAAATATCAAGGTCAAATCGTATATGTCTGTGATCCCAACATGAGGGTTCGTCAGACACAACCCAATTTGTTATTATATCGCTTATCTTGCTTGTGCAGAGTGTTAAATCTAACACTTCTTTGCGTGCCTTAGTAACAATAGTTGGCTTGTTTCCGATATTGGATATAACCAAACCTTCAGATAAGATGAAATTCAAAATAGACTCACACCTTGTTTTGATGTTTGTGCTTCCACATATGGTGCGGTGTGAGTTGGCATCACATCCCATAAGGAGTTGTAATCCTTTTCCTAGACAATATGCAACTATGTCGCTCATAATGCCTTAGAAAAATAGGCTGAACATACCACCACTTTCTTCTCTTCTACTTCCGTGGTCATAGTTAGAACAGCTGAAACAATATCATCGGTGCAGAGCATCGGGATTAGTAAGGGAAAGTAACAATAATAAAAAAGGGCTATTTTGGCTCCTAAGGGTCGTAAACCTTTTTTTTTTTCTAAAAGTTATCTTTGTGTGGTAAATATCCTTTAAAATGATATATCAAATAATACCTCTTTCTATTTAAGATTTTTGGACATAAAGGTCACAGTCGCTTTTGAGTTGAATTTTTAGAATGATTATACATACCTATAAAATATGATATATGAATAACAGAATATGAATATATATGGAATGTGTGGATATTAACTAAGGGAAATAGCCTAAGAAGAAGCACAAAACAAAAATATTATTTACTATATAAAATTAAATTTGTTTTAAAATTTAGATCCTAAATTAGCCTAAAGGCTATAGCGGGATAAGATGGTCAAAAATGCCCCCGTACCAATCAGCACTGCGACGTGTTCTTTCAATAAAGCATATAAAAACATGATTTCATACAAATTTTTAACTTCCCAGAGCCCATATAACCTCTTAAATTTAAAAAAGAAACTTTTTTGACTTAATTTTTTTCTGGATTTTATTTTGCTGTAAAAAATCTGAAAAAATTCATGAAGATGTATCTTTTGAATACAAAATAGTCTGATTTTTTTCAAATTTTTATATTGAAAATTAAGCTCAGAAAAATTCATTGAAATTTTTAATAATTTCTTAGGTTATGTTAATAATTTTTGACTAACTTTTAAATAGTAATTTTTTATGTATTTTTTTTTTCATTTTTTTAAATGGCCAAGGCAGAATTTTCAATTTCTAAGCGGGAATCAACGAAAAATCAAAAATCGTTTTTTTACTCGTTTATTTGCACATAACCTCAAAACTTAGTTGGTAATTCAACATTTTTCAACAATTTTTCTTCCACATTATCAAAATTCATTTTATCAAAAGTCCTCATTTAACTCTTTCATAAAGATAAAATTCGAAAATACCACGTTTTTTATTGTTTTCGCACTTTTTTTACCTTACCTCAAAATCAGATAGTTAGATGTATGCTTTTCCATCTATTTTCTTATGGGCTATCTATCATCAATATTAAAATAATCATTTTTAACTTACAAATTCTCAAATTGCGAAAAAATCGTGTTTTTCTAATATTTTCCCCATTTTATTGACTCATAACCTTCAAATCTAATAGCTAAATGATCCAATTTCCGCATATTTTTGATCGCGCCCTTAAATTTTATTATATCACTTGTCTTTTTTTCTGAAATAGTCAAAACTCGAAAAAAAACCTATAGCTTTATGATTGAGCCTTCCTTAACAATTGTTATGATCGCTTTTAATCGCATATCACTTTTTGTGCGCAAGCCTTAGCTGATAATGCAAATTGCCTACATATAGTCCAGTGTCAAATGTTTATCAAAATAAATAAGTTAATGAAAGTAAATGAAACAAAATCAGGCTATTTTTATTTAAAAGATACGTCTTGATGAATTTTTTCAGATTTTTTAAAGCAAAATTACGTCCAGAAAAAAATAAAGTCGAAAAAAGCTTCTTTAAGAGGTTCTATGGGCTCTGGGAAGCTAAAAATTTGTATGAAGTCATGTTTTTAAATGCTTTATTGCAAGCACAAGTCGCGGTGCTGATTGGTGCGGGGTCACTTTTGACCATCTTATCCCGCTATAGCCTTTATCACAACTCATCAAATATATTCATGTTCTGGTCGAGCGGTATTTTTTCGGTATCAGTATGTTTCACTGTAAATAATATTTGTTGCTTTCGTATTAGGAAACTTCGTAGATTTCTCAGTCCAGCGCTTAGTAGAAAGCAATCTTTGTCGACTTCATCCAGTTCTTCCTTGAGTGCCACCAGTATTCAGCTGGAAGTTCCGAGACCTAAATCAGTAAGTGATGAAGATTGTACTCTCAATGAGATGATGGGTAAATATGACGAAAGTTATGTTTATGAGAAGGAGACTGACATATTAAGCGACAGTGATCCAACTGATTGTGAGACTGACATAGATACAGGACAGGATGGGGGTGATGAAGATGAGCCCTTCGAAACGGAATTAGATTTTATAGATAATGGCTCATTTTTGGACTTTGAAGCGAACAGAGCTGACCTAAATACGGGCCACTGTTCTTATTATACCTACGATGTTCAAAGAAAGAGGTCATCCCGACGACGTACACAACGTAGGAATACTAAATCGAGTGAGAAAAAACGAAAGTCTTGCTCGAGTAAAAAGAAGCAATCCAAACAAATCGATAGAGAAAAACGTATTAATCCATACATAGATGGCTCTAAAAGTGCTGGAGCTACTCCTGTTTCCGTCCGACGTGCCAACTGTAGGCCAATTTCCAAGTTGGCATTAGATGATTGTTTAAGAAAACGGTCTAATTCGGTAGGTTTCTCCCACGACCCCATTAACAATATAGATAAAAGGGATAAAGAAGCCGACCTTAAGTATAGAGAACTTATTAGTGAAGCCGAACATATTCTACGCGCTATGAAGACAAATGGCTTATCGCCAAGAAGAGTACCAGGACCTGCCAATAAAAGGGTGGAACTTTTAAGAATAACTGAATGTGCCAAACCCGAAGTTTTTGTTAAAAACAGACCACCTATTGAAGATACTGTTATTAGCAACCCGTTTTGTTCGAAAATTCCGTCCAATAGTGGATACAGCTGTCCACGATTTAGCCCTAAGAAGAATCATATCACTAAATTTATAATTAGTAACTCTCCGGTACTGGCAAGAAAGGAATGGGAAATGCAAGCACAGATATACAAATCTCCAATGCCTTGTAGAAAATTACCGGAAGATCCTCACACTCCTCAACATGTTGTGTCTTTAAAAGACAGGCATATTGAGGCTGTTCGAAGTCCAAAATATAGAAAAAAGTTGACCAAGCGGGTTCCAGACTCTAGTTCGGACTCAGAGGAAGATTTAAGAAGAAGCTTTTTAAGAGTTGGCAGTTGCCCTCAAAGTGAGCCAGTAAGAAGAAAAGTATATGCTAATAACCAAAAGATTGATGCAGGAAAGATGGTAGCTTTTAATTTAACTACCGAAGCATCCACACGGCAAGAATGCACGAGCAGCAGCGATAACTTACGACAACAGGTTCTCTTAAATACTATTGTTAATTTAAAAAAGAATTTGGAGGATCATTCGGCTTCCCTAAAACAAGTATATAGAAGTTCCAATAACATTTACTCATAAAATTGAGAAAGACACTGTGCAATCATATATTTTATACTCATATTCCCGAATAAGAAGCCGATAATATAATGAAGGTAATTTTACTATAGTTTAATATTGGTGTGATACCAAAGAGTAGGGGCCTACTTTAGAAATATAGTTCAGACACATATTATATTGCATAAAGTTTAGGTAAAATAGTCTGCGCCCCAAAAATAACAAAAATAAAAGCTAAAGCAATAAATAATGTACGAATTTATTCATTGGTGTAAGTCGAGTATATCTACTAAAACTTAAATAGTATTTAACTCAGTAGATTTATCATTTATCTAGGCATATTGACAGGGGAACTTTTTATCCATTATCCAGCGGCCATCAGATTAACTTCAGTCACGGGCCTGGCTATCATTTTTTGCAAGTCTCTTTTGGGCGTCGTATTTTAGTTAATTCTGTTTTTCGATCAATTATTAACTTAAAGAGAAATGAATTTCTGAATATTTTTACTACTAATGAAAAGAACAGTTGATAGGTGGGTAATTATTGTGAAATACGTCTTTTTTTTATAAACAAAATAGCATCAGCCAAATTGGCTATTAGCGAAACAATGATAGCGAACAATAATTTGTATTACATTTATAATATTAGTTTAGATAGCATTTAAAACTTATTTCAAATCTTTTATAAAAGGTATATATAATAAATTTATTATATACCTTTTATAAAGGATTTGAAATAAATTTTTTGTTGTGTATGGTATACAGCCAGCTACAGGAACTTAGTTTCCTAGTGGATTTTTAGCATTTAAAACGTTAATTGAGGTTAAGAAACTTTTTATGTTTGAAATATTGGATATTGCACTGTAGACCTAAAATATCACTTAGTTTGTTGGGTATACTGTACAACATGCGCTTTGGCGTTAATGCTGGACATTTTTCTAATATATGTTTGGTTGTTAATTTTTCATCACAGTTGTCACATCTTGGTTCTTGTTTGTTGGAGAACACGTAGCTAATTCGTTAGTCGCGTATGACCCAGTCGAAGTCGCGTTAATATTACCTGATCTCTCCGACTTGTTGGTAATGTGGGCCAGGGTTTTATTGATTTTTTAACATCACATAGCTTTTGCCGATGACACTTTCCACTTTTCTTCCCACCTATATCGCACGTTAAATTTAACTGCCTCTTTCACGTCCGAACTCGTA